ATATATTTGAGAAAGAGAGAGAGGGTGAGAGAGAGGAAGAGATGAAAAAGGAAGAAGAAAAAGGAGGAAATTAAAGGGTTTTGCACATTTCAGGGATGTTTAAATGAAATGTAATGCTCGGCCTAAACAATCGATTCTAAAATAGGGCTTACGAGAAAAAAGGCCAAAAAGTATTATAATACGGCGCACACATTTATTGATTTGCCGATCTTCCAAATCTCTCATCAACTCGTCCTTTTCATCATCGTTTTTCGAATTTTTTCTTTTTTTATATTGTCAAATTCATTCATTCTCAATACATTCCAATTTTTTTTTTTTTTTGACTCAGTCGAACTAATGTACATTTCCTATATATTTTGTCTCCTTCCAATATGTCATCTCAGCACAGCACACTATCAGCTGTTGTCGCAATTACAATCAAACATTTCGCAAACGTTCCGCATCCGCGCAGTACTTATCTCCATCATGCATTATCGCAATTATCGTCAACATAATCATCCTTATTCTTGCTATTTATATTGTTACTGTTATCAGTATCAATAATACTATTATTATTATTATTATTATTACTGCTGTTATCTTATCATCGTTAATATTATCATCTTAAGAATTGTTATTATTAGCATTATGTCAACACAATGTATGCTATCAGTTTCTCATAATTTACTTTCTTCTCCTTCACTTTTATCACTCCTATTTTATTGCAATAAGTTATCATTTGAGTGTAAAATGTATCGAATTTAGTGATTCATGAAAAGTTTCAAACAAAATTTAAATTCAAAAATTTTAAAAATATGTAATACAGAAAAGATGAAATAGCACATGCAAATATTTCTCTGCTTTTTTGCGCTTTTTTAATAAATTCGCACAAATTTCAAATTTGAAACTTTGAAAAAAGAGCATATACAAATTATTTATTATTATTTACAAATTTCATTTCGCTTCTTTTCTCTTTTGTTTCCGCATTACAGATTTCTTTGATATTCCACAATGACCAATTGTCAATTATTGATATGTTAATTTTCGTTTTTATTTTTTTTCTTTGGCAAATTTAGCAATCATAGATTTAATATAAAAAGGATAGTTATTGATATCGAGAAGAAATTTAGGAATTATAGTGGAAAACATAATCGAACACAATCTTTCATCCTTTAATCGAAAGTGAACCAAAATCAATTTTTAATTAAATTTATTTTTAAGAATTTTTACTTATACTATGTCATCATTCTAGAATTAATTTATTATCAATTTTTTTCTTTTTCTACATAAGCATAATAAGAAGAAAAGTTTTTTTTTTCACAAAAAGTTATTGTGGGAAAGTAATGAAAATACGAGCTGAAATTGTAATAATTCGATTTATACATATTGCAAAATTTTGGCATTAAACAAAGTACAAAATTTAGTTTTATTACGCGAACTAAATATTAAAAGTTAAAATCATTCAATTTTACTCACTGTTTACATTACCATATTCCTTGTTTAAGCCAAATTAAAACTTCACAAATATGCTTAACATTAGTTTAGCATAATTTACCGCCTAATGATAAAAAATTTAGTTCAAAATTTTATTAGAATAAATGAACAGATCATTGAAACAATTTATAAAAAATTATACATTCTAAAAAGAATGATAATTTTTTTTTCATCCGATTCTTCCATCCCATTTTTGCAATCTATTCTCTTTGGGTACTCTATTATATCAAATATTCGGTTTAAAAAAAAAAAAAACTTCTTTTCAAAAAGTGTCTAAAATTTTTTAACAAAATTCATTCCAAAAAAAAAAAATATCAAAATTTAAAGTGATACATTTTAGTATTACCTGGAGGACTTCTCACTCATTCTCCATCATCAACCGTATCAGTTCATCGTCGTCTGCCACCATTACCAATTAATTCATTATCAACAACAATTATCACTACTACTACAACTGATATTATCACTACCATTACTAATTACACAACTACCACTACTGCTTCATTCACTGGACATTTTAATCCAACAGCATCTTCGATGTCAACAAATTTATTTTCACCATCAACAATCGTTTCTCGTCCTGTTCAATCAGTTCCTAAAGAAGATCACAGGTATGAGTTAAATATGGAAAGAGACTAAAGATTGATAGTTATAGAATAATTGTTTAAAAAGAACGAAGAAAAAGCCAAAAATATTTGCAAACATTTATGGATTATAAAAAATTATTAAAAATTACAGGTATAGATCAATTATTAAGGAAAGATTGAAAGAGTAAAATAAGTTTGAAATAATTGTTAGAGAAAAAAAAAATTGGAAATAATTGTCAATTGCAGTTTGCCCGCAACAATTACTATTTTACATGTTGCAAACAAAAAAATTTCATAGTATGCATAATTAAAGTTTATTTCACAATTTTTGAAGTAAATTATAAAAGAAAGGATGTGATGGGAATTTTGTGATTCCCTGAAATCATTTGCTTAAGTTTTTGGTTTCTTTTTTGCTCTGTAAAAAATCATTGAAAAATTATGAATTTAAAATTGAAAAAATTCAAAATTCAAAAATTTTACAATAATTGAAAATGATAAATGATCGTTGCATCGGATATAATATTATGCCTATTATCTTTTTCAAGTGTTTTGATTTATCTTACACAACATTTCAGCTATATTAGCTATATTTCAACTATATTAGATTTAAGAAATATCTTACTCAAAAGGAAAAATATTTAATAAACAAAGTGAATGAAATAAAGAGGAAAAGGTCCAGCTGAATAATTGAATTTCGCAACAAGCATTAAATTCTTTTTCATTTTAAAATTATAAGAATTTTCACAAATTTAATTAATTCTAATACCATTACTTTTAGCATTATTTCATATTTCCCCACAACGATATTAGTTCCAGTAATTTGATGGAATTTGATTTATTTCATATATAAATTAAGCTTTAACTATAATTTTTCAATTAATTAAACTCTTAACAACTAAATTATTAAATTGTTAGCGAAATGTGAAAAAAAAAAACATCATTTATTAAAAGTTGCAAAATAAAATTTGAATGAAAAATTTATGATAATTTAGGATTTGCTTTGGTACAGAATCAATAGTGGATCGTTCACTGTTACTTTTTGAAGATAGCTATTATGAGGATAGTAATCTCAATGATAATCAACTTCCATCCAAAAAAGGTATATTACTTTTTACAAGCATATACTGTAAATGAAGTGCTTCATTTAATATTAATTTAAAATATAAGATAAAAGTATTTACTTACACAACTTTTCTCTTTTAGTACTTTCACAATTTGGTCAGGAAGATTCGTCCGGTGTGTCAAGTTGTTGTACCGGTTTGGAACAGTTTAATCCGACACATCGAGTACATTCATCATTTATTCCACGACATGATGATGAAGTACTTCTGGAAATTGGCGATGCGATTCATGTGGAACGAGAATGTGAGGATCACTGGTGTTATGGTGATATTTCAATTTATTATGTTTAAATTAAAAATTAATCCATTTCTTTTTGCAGTTAAAAATAATGAAATCAAATCGTGTTCAATAATATTTTTAATTTTAAAATAATTGAAATAATTGTGAAAGATAGAGATAGAAAAAATTATTTTTTTACTGTATTTAATAGAAAATTGATTATTTTTTAATTCAAGGAATTTTTTGACCTAAATTAAATTGAATAGAGGAAATGATGATAAAAATTATGAAATAAAATGATAGGATGGTTTGGGATAATTTAAAGGAATAAATCTAAGAACCAATCAACACGGTATATTTCCATCAGCGCATGTTTGCGAAATTGATTTGGTCGAAGAAATTTGCATGGGAGCCTTACCAAGTAATCTTAATCGTAAGTTATCACAATTATTAACATTTAAAGCATGCTTATTTGAAATTATATAAAAATTTAGCTAAATAGAAATAAAAAAAAATAGTGCTCGGAATATCGCAATTCAATTTTTTCTTTCAGAATTTGAAATAAGTTTTTTTTTTTTTTTTGCGAGAACAATAAATTGATCATATCCGTTCCCCATTATATTTTCAATTCATAATTTAAATAATGTCTTGCAATATTTTTAGAAGTAACTTTAAACCATAAAGTTAATCATAAGTGATTAATTCAGTTCAATTATAAATGTTTAATTAACATTGGTTGGTGGAATTAAATTCTAAAGATTGATTGGAAGTAATTTCGTCATGTATTCTTTTGATGTTACATCAATTAATGAGGTAGAACAAAAAATTGACTCATTGTAATATTCAAAATAGTTCCAGAAGCAATGACTAATGAACGTGACACATTTTATTTGACAATGTTAGCATCAATTGAAGTTGCGCATCATAAAGGAAATGATGTTCTTGTGCAGGCGGTGAATAAGGTCACCCAATTTTCTTTTTATAGAATAATTTATTGAAAATTTATAAAATAAAAATACTCGAATGAGTTCATATTTGTTTCTTTTCTTTTCCTGTCTCTTTTATTTTAGACTTTTTCATTTATAATTTTTGTGAAATTATGCTTTTTTTTTTCTTCATTTCTCATACAAATGAATTATATTCAATTTTATTTAAGCATTAATAAATAAATTTAATTGATATTAAATTATTTTAGACATAAATATTTCAGATAAATTTAATTAATTTGATTAGTATCTAGGTTTTTTGTTTCACTTCGGTAATTTAATTAAAGCAAAATTTTTTGCTTCAATTAGCTTATTGGTCATTTCTATTTTTTTTTTTAGCTTTGATAATATCTATTCCCATATAGCAGCTACAGTGATATCACTGTTATGAGAACTGTAAATGATGAAAGCAGACAATAACTAATTTTAAATATAATGATATAACTATAATTCATAATTTAAAATAGAAATTTAATAAATTTAGGTACTCAGTGTTTATAAAAATAAGGTGGAAATAATCGTACCACAAACGGTACTAATGGAAGTATCATTTCGTGGCATACATATTATCGATAAACGACGAAAGAATGTAAGTTATTGAAGCGAAATACTGTAAAAAATTATTGAATAATGAAATAAATTATTGATTTAAAAAAATGATTACCCAGAAATGATAAATTAGATTAATTAATGGAAATAATTAATTTTCATTTAAAAATGAAATAGAGAAAATTTTTAAAAAATAGA